CCTCAGCATTGCTCGTCCGGCTGCCACACCAGATTCGTGCAACGTTGCGCAGACAGCGGTGTTCAAACACCGACAGTCTATGCTATCCTGTTTTCTTAATAGCCAAGTGTCTGCGCCATATAGCAGAACTGGCCGAACTGCTGCACCATACACTCGACCTTTCACAGACAGTCGGATGTCGCAACGGCGCCGCAGATGTCTCAAGTTGGCAAATGCCAATCGAGCCTTCTGTATGCAAGCCGACACTTCATCCGTGGTACGTCCACCAGGTGAGACGTAGCTTCCCAGATAACAAAACTTATCCACTTGCTCTCTTACTTCCACAGTTAGAGTGAGTCTGGTTGCTGGACGAAAACAGTCTTGTAGTAGTATTTACACTTTGAAAGTGCAAAACGCAAATCGAACATGGCTACACTAGCACTCGCACTATCCAGGAAAGCTTGCAACTTACCTGGATCTTCACTTAGTAGCACAATGTCGTCTGCATACTCTAGATCAGACAGCTTATCACCTGGGAGTAAATCGATACCTATTTCCTCGCACGAGGATAGGGCTGTTTCCATATTCAAATCTATGACAAACTTAAATAGAAAAGGCAAGAGAGGGCAACCTTGTCGAACACCACTTTCCGTGGTGAAGTGGGGTGAAAAAGTGGTATTAGCTCGAACTCGATTTCGGTTATGATTATAGAGGGATCGTAATATTGAAACAAACTTCTCGGACACACCTTTCAGGCAAAGGCAGCGCCAGAGTTTGGAGCGGTCGACTGAGTCGAAAGCCGCTTTCAGATTCCGGAAGATAGAGATGATGGGTCTAAGAAAAGAATTTCGGTGCTCCAGAGTTTGATGAAGGGTGAAGATGTGGTCGATACAACCTCGACTAGGTCTAAAATCAGCTTGGTTCTCTCGCGTGCACCGTTCACGTGCGGTAGCGAGAAGTTTAGGGACGATGTCACGTGCGGCAGACAATCGACGGAGTATGATACCGGCGAGAAGTTTAGGGGCAATATTGAGAAACTAATTCCTCTGTGGTTTTCACAAGAGGATCTGTCACCTTTCTTGTAAATCGGTATGCTGACCGATTCACACCATTCAGTTGGGACCTGTTCCCTCTCCCACACAGTCCAGGAGTTTCGCTAACTCCGAAATCAATGCTGAACATCCATCCTTAAAGACGGATGGGGACAGCCCGTCGGCGGGAGTTCCCAAGCCTTTTCAGATAGCTTATTTCCCGGGAAACCTCCATTTCAGATGGAGGACTGATGTCAACTTGGAGTATTTGTCCAGTCGAGGCGGAGAGTGAAAGATAAGATGTCTATGGGGGACCAGTTGAGCTAAGCCTTGAAGTGTTCAGCCCAACGTTCAAGACGGCGTTGCTGATCGTGAATCAGTGTGCCATCGGATTCCTTAATTACTTCACTTACTCCTATTTTCCTAGGGCCAGTATTCCTAATTGGGCGGAAAAGATTGCGACTATTATCAATAGTCTCATCCATGTCTCCACACTTTCCTATCCACCACTTCTCGCGGTCATTCCTCAGACTCTTGATGAGCTGGCGTTTGAGGGATTTGCGCACTGTGTCATATGTGGCATCAGGAGGAAGGAAGGGTTCTGGGTTCACACCCATCAAAGGCTGATTAGTCCGCCGAAACCAGCGGTGATCAAGTGGAACTTTTAGAACGAATATCTTGGCATCTTGTAGATACTGATACACTTCTATACCCACCATTTATCGATACGACTCAAGTAGTGAAGTCTAGGCTTTCTATGGATACCTTCATCTAGTTATTTTATCCCTGTATCGGTTGTATTGTTGTTGTTGTAGGCTAATCATCTTCCCTGCAATTTATTTCAGGTCAAGCCTTTGTCAGCCTCCCATGTGAGCTAACCGCTCTTCAAGCACTCGAAGCAACCAACGGGTTCCTGCTTCACGAGCGACCCATGGTGGTTCACTTTGCACGTGGAGCCAAAGCCAAAGTCGACGAGAAAAGCCTGATAGAGGTCACCTAACCGAATATCTTACCGCCCACTTCGATTGTTCCTGAGATGGCTCAAATCACTTCCGAGTGTGTATATTTCTTGTTCGTTGTACAGCAGATAGCAAAAATGAATATAAACGCAATAGTCTAAACATTTGTTTCCTAAAGTGTATCATTTAATACTTGGTCGTACATCGATAATAACAGACGCACCCGGGGGTTTTCCGAATACTTATTTCCAGGCTACTGGTCTTTAAGGACCGAGTTTTCAATCTTGTCCTTATGAAAGCTCCGTCCAAATCCCACGATTTCGGCTGTTTATCCTGCTAGCCGTGGATCTCAGTACATGGATTTAGGTTAGTAGTTGTCTTATCTCTGTACACGTTTTCCGTAACCATCATAGTTTTGCGTTCCACAGTGTGCTATGACGAATTCTGTGAAAGCCTCGGTGGTCTGAACTGTCAGACAAGCACGAGTTTCAGTTTGTACAAGCACACACCATGCACCTCTTTGCAGCGGGTGCCATTCTTTATGGCACTCTGATAACAGTGATCCCGATATCCCCATATAGGAGCACAACGCGATCTGTATGACCGAGTCTCGTGGTCTTCTGCGCTTTTACACCCTCATGCCAGGTCTTTGATCACTATTTTTTTCCGCTATCTATTTCGGTAAACACCACGCTCCATGGCAACCTATTTGGTGACCTGCGTAACACATGACCAAACCAAAAACATCCAGAGGTCGACCACTTGCTCCGGTGGGCGACCGTCAACAACTAAGGCCTTTCGCCTAACTTCAGTATTGCTTATCCGGTTGCCTCACCAAATGCATGTAGCGCGGTGCTCAAACACCGTTTACATGATGCGCGAGTTTCCGCACCGTATAGAAACACTGGCCGAACTGCTGCAGCACACTCCCCCGTAGAAAAACAGCCGGGTGTGACAGCGCTACAGATGTCTCAAGCGCGTAAATATCAATTGGGTCTCCTGTATCCATTTCATTTGGGATGCGCCCTCCGGCAGGATACAAGTACCCGAATAACATCGTTCAATTGGTCTATTACTTCCCCAGTTAATGAGGTTGGGAGCTGGACCCAACCCACTCCGTAAGTAACATGTAGCAGTTTGAATGTGTGGAGCACATCGAACATGGCTACACTAGCACTCAAACTAACCAGAAAAGCTTGAAACTTAACTTAGCAGTACAGCACAGTCTACCACCCGGGAGCAACTCGATGCTACCATCCTAGCATGAAGAAGGGGCCTTTTCCCCAATCAAATCTANGGCAATCCTGACGAACACTACTTTCTTTGGTGAACTCGAGCGAAAAAGTGCCGTAAGCTCGGACTCGACTTCGGCTATTAGCATAAAGCGGATCGTAATATTGAAATAAACTTCTCGGGTACACCCTTCGGAGCGAAGTGGCGGCTGAGTCGAAGGCCGTCCTCAGATCGAGATGGTTCGTCTATGAAGAGAATGTAATTGCTCCAGAATTTGCGGAAAAGTGATGTGACCTATACGACCCCAACCAGGTGTAAAACCAGCCTCACGTGCGGCAAACAATGGATGGGGTACAATACCAGCAAGAAGTTTAGATCGAGGTTGGTTAAAGTAATTCCCCTGTGTTTTTCACGAGAGGATCCGTTACCTTTCTTGTAAAGAAGGACCGCCTCACAACGTTCGATTTCTAATACTGAAACCAAGAGTTTCGTCGATTCGAAGCCACTCACGGAAAAGCCGATGGGGACAGCCCATCCACTCCGAAAGTCTTTTGAGATAACTTTTTCACTGGACTTTGATTTCGGACTGATACCAAGTGGCAGTATTGGGCTATTTGAGTTAGGAGTTCACAGTTATGTTGATGGGGGCCAGCTGGACCGAGCCTCAAACTATTCAGCCCATCACTGAAGAGCGCGTTGCCGATGAAGAATTAGTGTGCCATCGGATTCCTACCTACCTCACTGGCATTAACTTCCATTGAGCTCGTGATTCTAATTTGACGGAAAACAGTGCGACTGTTGCCACTAACGGCAGCCTTCTGCATTTTGCTACCCACCACTCTTCACGGTCATTCCTCAGGATTTTGGTAAACTGTTTTTTTTGTGATTGGGTATCGGAAGGAAGGGTTCTGACCAATGTTCAGTGTTCATCAAATTCTCCTGGTGGTTGAACTGGGAGAGCTCTGCTTCGAGGACCGAGGTAAGCACCAAGCACAAAAGAGACTGCGTTGATGAGGGAGACAGATACTGGTATGACTTAGCTATGCGAATACCACATCCTTTTTGTGCGCTGCTTATTTTAGCTAACCTAAGTAAGTTTGATGAAGAGAGATATCTACAATGTAACCGGTTTTCTCGTGCGAGGCAGAACTTTGCGTAATCTGTTGCGGACCGTAAGTTAGCAGTCTATTCAGATGCGATTCCCTACGAGCCCCCCTATGGGATAATGTGAATTTACCTGGGGAATTCACACACCCTGCTTGTTGCAACCGCTGGGTTGAGCAATACATCTCGTCTGGCTGTCTGTCGTCAATGTGGTAAGCTGTCTCGTTGATTATTTTTGAGGTCCCAGTTGTCCTGTTTTTAGTTTATCCCGCATGTAGAGCGGTTTTCTGGGATTTGCACGCTTGTTAAAGACATGGGCGAGCGTTGTGTAAGCGAAGCGGAATGTTCCCTAATGTATGTGGCAGAGGTGGTATGCGTGTCGCATATCTAAAGACTTGATCGGGCAAATTCCATTTCATTCTGTGCCACACAAAACCTCGCAATTCTAGGAAGTTCAGACAGCACATTCAAGGTTTCACCACGATTATTAGTCGAAAGCGACACACGACTTCTTTTTGTGTGAACATTATGCATACAAACTGGCCAACTATGAGAAGGACAAATGAAGGACTCACGAACTGAAACGCCAGTTATGCAATAATCCTTTTTCTACTCAGTTCTTCTGGACAAGTTGTATACATTAGATCTCAATGTGACAGACGAACAATGTGTATGTGTGTCTGTGTGTGTGGGGGGGGGTAGAGATGTAAACGTGCGCATACAAACAACGCGCTTCCTCTGTGAAACCGTTGAGGAACGCGTGACCAGTGCAGACGCATAAACCATGAATAAAGAGAGCGAGCGGCATATCGCCGGCGAATAGTAGTGCGTTTATAAAGTCAAAATATGAAAACCCAAGGCAGTGCACGTGGGTGCAAATGGTTGAAAGGCGTTGGGGTTATGTGGGATGCGGGAACGGGACTGGTTGAGATAAGAAAGTCAACGGTATCACAAGTTATGCGAAATTGTGCCACAAGAGCAGACGAGAGTAGCTTCGCACACATGCGGAATGTGTTTCACACTGGCACCGAATATCCCAAACACGGGGCTTAACTAGCCACCGTGAACAAATCGAGCAAAATTTCCGGTTTGACTGTGGTCACTCGATTCATCTGGTTTGTTGTGCCCAATGGGTCGGTTCGCAGACGACACGTTTGACCCAATTCAAACACGCGGTACTGGCGTTTCACGTGCGGAGGTTGAAACTGATCTGATGCAAGACGCCGACACCGTGCAATGTTGCAAACAGTCTGGCGCACAAAACTGCTCAGACAACGCTGACTCAGGACCATTCCGTTGATAAGCGGTCCCGCGTCGAAAACGCGTCCGGGTGCACGAATTACCCCGATCCGGTAGAGTTTAGAACTGAGCTGTGTGATGTAGATGGTGACTTGGCAGCCGAATGTCCTACTGGTCAAATTGTGTGTGCTCCATCCAGGACAATCGGGTCCACTGTTAAGAGGGCCATCTTCCCAGCTTTGTAGCCAGACAACAGCAACCCGACCTCCGGTTGGGTCAGCACCGGGTTCACCTGAGGTACCAGACGCGGAAGTCAACGATCCATGCCGTACAGTGCTGGGAGCTGGAGTGTAGGGAGAATTAAAGGATAAAAAGGAAGGCATGCAAGGTGAATAGCGACGAGATGAGGATAGGACAGTGCACTGCGAAAATTTTGACTCCAAACTGTACAACGAGCTCAAAATGCATTCTACTGGATTTGGCAGTGAAATAGACGGTAGTGACATGAACTGTAACTGAAGTATCCATATAGCCGAATATCATTTGTTTTAACTGGAGGATTTTAGGTCAAACCTATACAATCGTAACGCACAATTTTTTTTTACTTAGAGTAGCAATGGATCTCATGATGAAATTTACCATAAGGCCAAATAACTCATTGTCGTTGTCCTGCACGAACTTTTTTTACACTATGTTAGTAGATCCATTATGGTGATTCGGGAAGGAGAAAAGGACTTAAATCATTGCACTGGCTCATTGGCTCTTCAACCATTCACGTAACAAGTGAACAAGAATTAAATTATTAATTCGAAGAATAGCGTAGATTGTTTCACATTCATTTGAACGGCGTGCAAAAAATATAAGACCATTATTCAGGAAAGAGGCTGTGGTGGCATGCACACAGGATACTATAACAAAGTTCTGATGTTACAATGGGACTATTCTGGAATTTGAAACGTGAAATGGCATTAGCGGGGCTAGAATGCAGACAGTCCATGCTGGGCAATTATCACAACAAACATAAAACCAGACACATACCGGGGACGCGTGTACGCAACTCTTTCGAAACCCCTGTGGATGAGGCCCCACCACGTTCGTCTTCCGCGGTAGCGGCAAGCGATAAGTCTGTTGGACACAGACAGGCCAACTCCGTAATTGAATCGGCAGAGTACAGAATGTGACGTGTGCCGTCCGGTGCTGTCTCTGGGATTGGGGAAACAGGCGCGCAGTTTTGTTGTGTGACACTTCTTGGGGCAATACGAGTGAGACTGGGACGATAGCTGGTTTCGGGTCGCCCCGTCCAACCGGGGTGAGTAGTCACATCCACATAGGAGCCCAAGCCACGAAGAAACATGTGGAATTCCGTCGGGAGTTGAGACCAAGATCGCTGAACATATGAAAATAGAGCACATCCAGATGTGAATGACACGGTAGGGGGTGGGGTGAAGAGAAAATCGGTGATCGAAACAAGAAAAAAACAAGTAATCCCAAACGAATACCAATGACTAGTTAAATGAATGTGAGTTAAGCGGAAAGTAGGATAAACAGCAGAAGGCTAAATCATTCTTCAATGTCAACTGGTATTCTCTAGCCCGTGATCAGCTGTATGCTCTAGGCCTTTCATTTATCGTTTTTCTCTGTTTAGCTATGGGTTTTGGAGACTAAATGATTGAATCGGTTAGTCTAGTAAATCATTAGTGGCTGTCAAACCACATTTGTTTCCCGTTTGTCTGACACATCCAACTTGCCGTACAAATTGGGTATTTCAACCGAGAGCACAGTAATAGTCATCTGCCCTTCGCCAGGCAACTGTTCAGTCAGTCAAATCAAAGTAAGCTTTATGCACCAGTAGGATGAATTTTCAGCAATTTTACAGTGGAGCTGAGGTGAATGGCCTCCGAGTGTAAATAAGTTGATTTGAAAAATTAAAAAAACGACAGGAAACTGAACGCAGGAAGACGATAGTGACGGATAGAAAAACGAATAAATAAACTAACTCATGAGGTGTTCAACCAAACCTGTAATAATTGGTGCCCGATTTACTAGAAAGCGAGCAAGACAAGGGAGGATGCTGTTTCTGTATGCGACGGTGCGTGTGGGAAGCAGCCTATAATGAGAGCGGGTACGGGGGGTTGACAATGGATTTAGTAAGTTCTTTGTGCAAGCAGTGATCGTTGTTCAGGATTCGGTCAGGTATTCTTTCACATGCGTCGAGATGTTTACACATAATAAAATCAACCAGAATTTCTCTGGTTATGGCGCTACATCGAGAAAGGAGTGTAATAGACCTGGAAATTGATGCGAAATCTTTTTCTTTTAGACCGGGAAAAAATACAGGGGAACAGTACAAACAATGAGGAATGATGCATGCTACTATGAATTTGAAAATTACGTTTGGGGGGAACAGCAAGCTTTCGAAGCCTGAAACGAACCTTATTGTATACGTTCTCTACATGTAAGGTCCAAGAGAGGTTATGGGATAAAAAGACTCCGAGGTATTTAACAGAGTCAGCTTTGGGAATGCTGTGACCGTTAACTACTAGATCCGCCTAGAAGTTGGCGTCTCAGTCGATAAAAAGCGGTGGAGGAGGAATCGATCCAAGTAAATGGGCCTCCACGTCGCCTCACCCGCTGCCTTGTGGTTAGGTTCTTGTTAGAACTAAAGGCTTTGGACGAGAACCNCACCAAACCCCAATGCATACACAAAATAAAAATAATTTCATACTGCGTCGGTCGTCGCGCAGGACAATCAGGACCGCGCTGCCCATTGCATCGAGCGGGGTGAGTAGTGA